GAGAGAGAGAGAGAGAGAGAGAGAGAGAGAGAGAGAGAGAGAGAGAGAGAGAGGGAGAGAGGGAGAGAGGGAGAGAGGGAAAGAGAGATACCAGAGTGGATACCAGAGTGAATACCAGAGTGGATACCAGAGTGAAATATCATGTATCTTCCTTCGGTGACAAGGGTTTCACTGAACAATCAGCTCTCAGGATCTTTTTGTGTAACTCATCCCTTGATGAGGTTAGAGCAAGGCATTCTAGAGCTTGTTTTTATATAGGTGCTGAGAATTCAAACTGAGGTCTTCAGGCTTGCAGAGTGACTGCTTGGACTCTCCAAGTATCTTCACAGCCCCACTGTTGGTCATTAAATTCTCATATTATTGCTGACTTTTCTGTTCAAATATTTTCTAAATTGAGCATTTTCTCATTATTGAGTCTGAGGGTTTTTTTTTTTTTCCCACCCAGTTGTCAGCAGCTGCAGCCAGTGGTTCTTGTGTCTTAATGAACAGAATTTCTAGATTTGTTTTCAAAAGACCAATATTCCATTATGGAATTGACTTTATCCTTTCCAGACAGGGTCTCTCTACATAGCCCTAGCAAGTCGGGAACTCACAGAGATCCAACTGCTTCTGCCTCAGGAAGGCTGGGATTTAAGGCTTGGGTTACCACATCAAACCTGGCTTGTTGGTTATGATGTCATGATGGAGATTAAACCTAGGCCTTCCATGTTACAGAAACCAGAACCTGTCTGAGTTTTGACTTTGGGGAATCCAGAATCAGTGTCAAGGGTATGCTGGTGTTGAGGGTCATCAAGACCCTGAATACAAAGTCCTGTCTTACCACATAGTTCTTCCCTCTCCCCCTTCAACCTGCCCCCAAGGTCTCCAGGCTCACAATTTACTCAGGAGATCTTGTCTTTTTCTACTTTCTACTTCCCATGTAAATTAGATCTATGTAAGTCTCTGTTAGTGCACTCATTGTTATCGAAGTGCTCCAGGATTGTGGTTTGTAGGCTGGTTTTCTTTGCTTTATGTTTAAAAACCACCTATGAGTGAGTACATGTGATAATTATCTTTCCGGGTCTGGGTTACCTCACTCAAAATAATGTTTTCTAGCTACATCCATTTTCCTCCAAAATTCAAGCTGTCATTATTTTTTCTGCTGTGTATACTCCACTGTGTAAGTACACCATATTTTCCTCATCCATTCTTCAGTTGAGGGGCATTTAGGTGGTTTCCAGGTTCTGGCTATGACAAACCAAGCATTAGCAGCGTTTTTAAGACTATGACTTCACATTACATTTTAGTCAGGTTTAGTCAAAAATAATGATTTTGAATTGAAAGTCTTTTAGTATCAAAATAAAACCTTTTCATTGTAGATGATTATATATAGATTAATTATATAGATAGATAGATAGATAGATAGATAGATAGATAGGTTAATTATAGAGTTTAGTAAAGAAATTGGGATAACCATTCTTTGGGTAATGGCAGAACAAGTTTATACCACACTGAGACTGTCTCCTGAGAAGGCAAAGAAAAGTGATTATATCAGACAATAATCAGAACATTTAGAGGTAAATTTTAAGCTTGGGCAGTCAATAAGGGCTACAGCCAGTACGCATTGAACATGGTTAACTTATACAGTTAACAAACAGTTAGTGGGCATGTTTATGCATTTAAACCGGACAAAACTTTTCTTTCCAGTTGAATTTTTAGGCAGGGGGAGGGGCTGCGGCCATTTGTACTTTCCTGGTGGGTCTGCTCCTGCAGCTGCTCTGCTCTGGTGTTTCCCATTGTGCCACTTTGGAGCAGGAGTCATCTTGTGAGGCCAAAACTAATTATCATCCAGGAGAAGTGATGGACAGTGGCCATCCTTGGTACCTGTCATTGTAGTCATCTCTGCTCACCTCTGTCCTCCTGGCTCCTCTTTGGCATTCAGGTCTGAGACTGCAGTACCTGTGGGAGGAGGGGCAATCCTCTCCCTGGCTGCCGGCAGCAGCAGTGCTAGCACAGACAGAAGCCTGCCGAAGCCCTGAGTGGAGTCCTAAGGAAACGAGGCACAGGGAAGGTTGGCAAAATCTACTGTTAGATTCCTGAAATCCTAGAAGTGATAGAATAGGATCCGAAAGGGCCTGAGGCTCAGAGAAACCTGCAGGCATAAGGCCTGATAATCCTTTAAGTCTCATTGTAGGGCTTTGTCAAAGACAGTTGAGAAATTTTTGAATCCTTGCAGCCGGCGAGTCCTGGTGACTGACCAATGAAGCCCTGGTCTTGGTTGTCCCATTTGAAAGCAAAAAGCGGCTGACTCTTGGCTTTAAGTGTTAGGTTGAAGAAGGCATCCTTAAGATCGAGAACTGAATACACTTGAAGCTCCAGGGAGAGGGAGATTGTAGGGGTTGGGGACTGTGGCATGAATGGAGGCTTCTTAAGCGTTTGAGAAAATAGCTCACTGTAAATGATTGATCATTGATCTGCTAAGAAAGCTGCTGACAGTCTGTTCTCATTTTTCTGGACTTATAACTTTATATTTTTTATACATTCTTATTTCTAAAATCTATATTTTTATTTTCTTATTCTTGGACTCTTCAGTCTACATAGTAAGTTCCAGGACAGCCAGGGCTACATAGTGAGACCTTGTCTCAAAAAGAAAAAAAAAAGGGTACAGTGTATGAAAGAAAATTGTTATCTGCTCAGGATACCCAAGGTAAAGTTCTCAGCACAAAGAATATTTCTCTGCATCAAAGAACAGAGGGCAGTGAATAAGAAACAAACACAGGAGATAGAAGATGAGAGAGAAGATGAAGGAAACAAGAGAATGGGGATAGGGATATTTGTTCCAGAGGGACAAAGGACTGCCTCTCAATAAAGGAGAGATAGATACAGCCCATAGGCATGGTGGTTGATAAAGGTAAAATGGGAAATCTTGCATTAGGATGAGATATTTACTGTTAATTGGTTAAGCAAAAATTAGATGAGCCAAAGAGGAATTTTGATTGCTGGTAGTCAGCCTCAGGCAGAGGAAGAGACCAAATAAGATGTTGTCTGTCTGTTTGTCCATCTGCACAATTGGTATCCCATTGGGCAGGGCTCATGCCACTCTCTGACGGTCATCCCCCAAAGCAGGTCAGTGTCTTTGCCCTTGTCCTTCTCTACATAAGCTATGCAACAAACAGTCTTAGAGCTTTAAACAGAGTTTATAGACCTCACCAAAGCAAGTATGCAACAACTGTGACCTTGAGAAGTTGCTGCCCATACAATAACCATAGACATTAAACATACTTGGGCATATCAAAAATATTACACTGTAACCAACACACAAGGCCAATGATAAAAATATTATTTATAAATGCATATATATTTACAATGTGTTACGAGCTGGGGGACTTCAGCTCCAGGTTCTTTTCAAGTAGTGTCTATGAGGATTCTGTGCCCTTCTCCCCAGAGAGTGATGAGTAACCAGACCAAGCAAGAGAATTGATTTTATGATGATTCTTTACTAGCAACTTCAATATCGAATGCATCAATGGGGGTTACAGTCTTAATAGGTATGGGGGATTGATAATGGGCAACACACAGGCACTTCAATATCACAATTATTAATCCTACTAAACCTAATACATAAAACCAATTCATAACCGTAATCTAACTTCTCACTTATTCATAAAACACTTCTTAACCTTAATACAACTTACCCATTACTTATCTATAACCTTAATACAGCTTATCCATTAATTATCTAAAAAACACTTCTTAACCTTAGCTTATCCATTAATTATCTATAAAACACTTAACCTTAACTTATCCATTAATATTTCCTAATCTTATTAATTATCCATAAAATATCTCTTAACATGTCACACCCTAAACATATGTATTAACACATCTATGCTCTTCTCTTAACCTCTCGTACACACATGAAATAGCATCATACGACCTGATATTCCCTGGCTTAAAAAGGGCTTTTTGAATTTCTTCAGGCTGGGCTCTTGTCCGCACTGGGGGCTGGGTAGTGAAGATCGACTCTTGACCCCGTAGTCTGCACTCGGGAGATAAGGTCCTGATGTTCCAGGCTGGTATCTGGTTGGGCCTTGGACTCAGCTTTCGGGTGACCGAGTCTCGGGAAACAAGGCTTTTAGTTCTCTACTCTCGAAGATGAGGCTTTGTTCTCGGGATGGCAAAGCGTTCTGTCTGCTCAGAAAACGAAGCTTTGCTTTCAGGATGGCAAAGCATTCTGAAAGGCAGAGTATCTAGTTTGTTTTCGGGAGACAGACCTTCAAATGTCCACTCTCATGGAATGAGGATTTGCATTCGGGATGCAAGGTATTAAATGTCTGTTTTCGGGAGACAGCTCTGTGCTCGGGAGACAGAGCATTAAATGTTTAGGCAAGGCATTTAATATTGCTGCTTTTCGGGAGGCAGGCTGGGAGGATCTCTCTTTCCACGGAGGCCTGGTGCCAGAGCCATTGTGAGAAGTGAGATAACCACCCTGCTTCAGCCACCTCTTTTAAGTCACTTCAAAACTGCCCCTCGTTTGATCCTTCCGATAACCAGATGTCCTAGTTTATCAGTATCGACTGGCCACAGAAGGGTGGGGGTCCCTCTTGTGTGGCAAGATTATTTTGTTACCACGGTTGCTGGGTGCAGCCCCCCACATCTGGCAGGGCCAGATGGGTGTGGCAGCCTTCAAGCGGGCAAATGTTCTCCCAATATTTCACCTTAGTAATTTTCCATACCACACACAAGAAGAAATGCTTTTATATTACACCAAGTTACATTCATTCTTATTCTATAAATTTCCTGCTCTATCTACACTACAGATTCCCCTTTATTTATTCATTCAGAGGAATCTGCTTCCATGCTCATTACACAATGATGTCTCTGGTAATAGGAACAAAACGAACATACAACCTATATATAGAAGCCCAGCAAGAATACAAAAGCCTTTGCTATATATTGACAATTTTACTCCTGAGTCACTCAGCATACCGTTACTTCATTTTTATTGAGTGTTCACTTTTAATATGTGGTGTTCATCAATTTAATCCCATTCTCAAGCCCCAACATCCAGCACCATTTGTCTTGGTCCTGCCAACATGTGCCTATGTCTTTGAAAAGTGGAGTGTGGATTGAGGAAAGAAAACACAAAAGTCTGAAGACAGAATCAGGAAGGCATTCCAATGAATACGGAATCTGCCTCGAGCTAATTTTTCTAGTCCTTTTATACCCCAAGCCAAAGGGGAGGACAAAAGACTGTTTTTTTAATCATGATATAAGGAAAAAAACAAGAGTGATTACTTCCTTAATATTCAAAACATCTAACAGCTATGCCCTAAGTCAAACATCCTATAATTTGAAACAAAATATCCAGTAGCTACATCTTAGGCCAAACATCTTGTTTGACCTTGAAGGATCAATAATATGCTTAAACTCTCTGACCTTATATCAAGATGGAGCAGAGCCATTTCTGTGGGCCTCCACATACGCTGCCTTTAGGGACACAAGATTCTGGGAGGGTGACCTATTGAGTCTTAGACATTCTGGGTGACTTAGTGTCCCCACTCCAGCACCCAGGAACCCTTGTCTGGTGAATGGAAAGATATAAGCACAAAAGGCTCAGGGTATAGGAACCTAAGGCTATAGCTTTATTTCTGATTTACCCGGTCAAGGAAGAGTCACTCATCATGGCCTCCCCTGGTACTCTTTCCATCATCATAGGCACTGGTGGTCTGGGTGCCCTCTATCCCTGCATCAGTGCACACAATAGCCAGCACATTCAGCCAGAGTTAGGCTCCATTTCTGAGCTGTGGTTTGGGGCTTCCTGCCCTGTCAATGCTACCTTGCTTCCAGAGCCCTGGCAAAGAGAAGACTATACCTTGAGGAGATAACCCTACAGCAGGGCTCCCACACCCACAGATCCACTAGGGTCTGCTTGCTCACCCTGGAGTGCATGGGAGGTTCCTAGGTGTGCTTGGGAGGCCTGAGTATCCTACCCAGGTCTTCCTGTCTCTCCAAGATGCCTCACAACACTGGGGACAACAATGGAGAGGAGGATCCTGGGCTTCAGCTCTACTCCTACCCCTAGCACCTCCCAGCCCAGGAAACATCTGTGAACCAAGTGGCCATCTCCTGCTGGTTAGTCAAAAAAAACCCTGTTTGGATGAGGGTCCAGCCCTCCTTCACAGCACTGTGACATGGGGTTCTTAGCCCTTTCTGAAGCTACCCACTACTTCCCTGTGGTTGCTAAGACAGTAGCCCATCGAAGGGAATCCTGGCTCTGTCAGAGTAGACCAACAAGGGCCAGCAAGATGATACTGCAGACAAAGGTGCTTGCCACTAAGCCTGGTAGCATGAGTTAATTCTGCAAGATCCACATGGTGGAATGAACTCCCACAAGTTGCTATCTGACCTTCATATGTACACCTTGGCATCTGTGAATGCATACAGGCACACACACACATAAAATGCTATAAATGGTGGTGCAAGCCTTTAATCCCAGCACTCCAGGAAGCATAAGCAGTATGATCTCTGTGATTTCAAAGACTGGGGATCTACAAAGTGAGTTCCAGGACATCAAGGGCTAAATCATGAGACCTTATCTCAAATAATTTAATACATAAATAAGTAATTATTTATTGTAATAAAAGATATTATAAAGACCACATCAACAATTGTTGCTTCCCAGAGTACCCCAAATCTTCTTGGGGTAGCCACCCTGCCATACGGATACTTCTTTTATCTCAGCTCTTTGCCTGGCTTTGAGTAATGTGAGGTACAGAAGTAAGATAGGGTCTTTTGAGAATAGCTGAGGGGATCTATGTCCTTGCTTAGACCTGACACTGAATACCTGCTGTAAGGCATTGTCTAAGGACTCTTGAGAAATATTATTTTCAGGTGTATTACTTTTGTATATGCTGCATTTGATTAACTGTAAAGCTGTGATTCTTTACTTGTCTAAAA